TATACTGCACCACACTGTAGTGTACTGTACTGTAGAATACTGCACCGTACTGTGCTGTAGTTTACTGTACTGTAGTGTACTACACTGTGCTGTAGTATACTGTAGTGTACTGCACCACACTGTAGTGTACTGCACTGTACTATAGTATGCTGTACCACACTGTAGTGTACTGTACTGTAGTGTAGTATACTGTACTACACTGCACCGCACTGTAGTGTAGTATACTGTACTGTAATACACTGTACTGTAGTGTGGTGTAGTATACTGTAGTGCACTGTACCATAGTTTACTATGCGTCACTGTGCTGGACTGCACTGTGCAGTACTGCAGTGTGTTCTACTGTGCTGTCTTGCTCCCTGTACTATAGCAATATACGATGCAGTGCTGTCCTGCTCTCGCTGTCTGTAGCCTGGAGAGCTCTTCTGCCTTGTCTGAGACAGACGGGTATTATCTGATTGATTCAGTGCTTGATGCAAATACAGCCCGAGATCAACAAAGTGAAAATAGCGAATACAGGAATAATATATATTTTATTTCGAATGATGTGGATAAGCCCTGAAAAAAAACAAGAAACGTACGCCATTTGTTTTTAATGTGGAGTTAGTCCGCACAGTTTTTCAGTGCAGCGTCGGCCCATGAAATACAGATATTGTCACCAAAAAAGCTGACGAGGGAAAGAAAAAGATGAGGAACCTTTCTTCCCGAGCCCGAGGAGAAGGCGGACAGGGGGGATTGTATTATTGTGACACCCAGGTGTTAGGGGGGGAACAGGGCGGTACCGCAGACTTGAAGGGATCGTATTGGCAAAGAGAGACATTAACGAATAAAATAATTAATTAGCTGGTGAATTGAACCGCTTACCGAGACGACAAAGGGGGATACGAGGTAAATGACTTACTGTGCTTTTCCTCCCTCTCTCTCGAAACCGGGTCGACCCCTCCAAGTCTGTTCAGCCGTAAACTACTTTAAAAAAAAAACTGTACTACAACAAACTATTAAAATGGTTTGCCGTCTGCGCTAGTATTTTTAGTAGCGCGTTATTTAGCTAACGCTTCAAGTCTAATTCTGTAATCCCTTCTGATGGGGTCTCCCTGGACTTTGGGCTTCGGCTTGGTCTGTCTGAACGCCGGGGAGAAACTTGCACCTGCTGAAAAACGCGGATGAACGAGTCCCACGTGTTGACCTGGATACGGCTTCTCTATTGTCAACTGGGAGTGCCAGTATTACCAGTAGTGTCTGTGTGGGTTTCCGCCCACAGTCCAGAGACACGCTGGTGGGTTAACTGGCTTCTGTGACAGCTGGTCCTGGCGTAAGTATGTGTGTGTGTGTTTGTGTCTGTGTGTGTCCTGTGATGGGCTGGGTGTCCCGTCTAGGATGTACCCCACCCTGTGCCCGTTTCTGGGTCTCCCGCGACCCTGACCTGGAAGAGGTGGTTGGAAAGTGGAGCTCTAAAGCGCTGAGACAGCTGAGTTCACCAATAGGGGGCGCTGTGTTAATTGAGGCCCAATGGCTGTTTGAGTAAGACACACTGAGTCAGTTATAGTCCAGTGCAGCAGCGATTCCCAGCTCTAGTCTTGCAGGAACTCGTTGTCTGCTAGTTTATAATCCTTCTGTATCTCCGATGCCAACTAATTACTTAGCTGACCTGCTTGCTTGTTAGGACTTACTGAACCTGTTTCTCCGGTCGAAAATACCGGACTTAAGTGATACTGTTTCCAGCTGCTCCAGAGCACAGAACTTCACACAGTGTCCTCTCAGCTTGCTGGCTCTTAATTCTGGCTAAGCAGCTCTTACTAGTGGATCTATTGATCATGAGCAGACACAGGTGAGAGTGGCACTGTGTCAGACACACCCACAGTGGAATAATTATAAATCCAAATATGGACGAGCCTGTACCAGACACGCCCACGTACGTTAGTGAGTTGTCTAAGACACGCCCATAGGTGGGTGTGGCATGGCACCAGGCACGCCCACGTTGAGTGTTTTATTCAATAGTCACATATCGGGCAGCACACCTGAATGGGGACGGTCCTGGGCAAAAAAAATCCCATTGGGTGTTTAAAGAGCTGAAAGTAAACTACAGATCTGCCTGAAACTGGAAACCGGAATCAGTCGGGTTAGTATTAGGAGTTCAGCTGAAATAAAAAAACAGAAGTCGCAGTGTTCCTCTGAGACCAGAGGCAGGAACCAGTGCAGACAGGACCATGTGAAGATGAGCATACATAGGACTGCAGGGCTGTGAGGTTTGACCTGCAATAGCATCCAGCCAGTCATCAAAGAGGATTATTCAACTCTCCTCGAGTGCCTCCGGGCCGGGGGGAGACGCTGAACCAGTGTGATCGTCCGCGGAGTCTCATGTGATGAGGGGCTGATGAGAGGAAGGGGTGTGCGTGTCGAGCCGGGCGTGTGTCCCGGGGTGTGTCTGCCCCTCGATGTGGCGCTGCAGTCTGAGAAACTCTCGCCGCCGAGATAGCCGCCCCTCAGTGTGGGTACATCCTTCCAAAGGGCGGTCTTACGAACCGTAGCGCACCTCGTTATAAAATCACAGGGGGGGCCGCAGTTTTGGCAAATGTAGGAGTTTCATTCTGGAAAAGTAGAAACTATGAAATAAAATAGTGAAACAGTGAAATAGTGAAACCTATCCCCTCGCAGATTCAGCCTGTCCTTGCGCCTCTGAGGTCACTCACCTGGGAAAGTGCCCAGGTCCCCTTGGGGAAATAGAATTAATTCAGTTCGCAGTGGTCTCCTGAACCTGTCTGGTACGTTTGTGCCGATTAGAACGAGGATGGGGAGAAATTGGTAACATGAGTAGATTATTCGTCCTTCTGTCAGTGAATGGTCATCTCATTTTGTCAGTGTGTGTAAGGGTGCTGATAGTACTTGGTAGTGTCAGTGTGTGAGTACATCTGTGCTGTGTCAGTGTGCACCAGTTTCTTATCAGTGTGCACCAGGGCTGTGTCAGTGCATCAGTGTTTACACCAGGGCTGTGTCAGTGTGCACCAGAGCTCTTTTAGTACACCGGGGCCGTCAGTGTGCACCAGTGTCTTATCGGTGTGCACCAGAGCTCTTTTAGTACACCAGGGCTGTGTCAGTGTGCACCAGTGCTGTATCAGTGTGCACGGTACTGTGTCAGTGTATCAGTACCCCGTTAGTCTATCTGTATCTGGGTACCTGAGCTTTTGTACACAAACATCTTTTAAAAACAACACGGCTTTAAAAAAAGAAAGAATATATATTTATTTTTAGTATAAGAAGTTAATAAGAATCTCTAAGGTTTTCAGTAAGACTAATATTTACAAATTTTTTTCAGCTGATAGTAAAAATACAGAATAAGGAATAAGAATAAGGAGACGTACAGAACTGTCAGGATCAACAGACTGTTAACAAGTAATAAGTGTTTTGTTTTTCTCAGCAAATATAAATAACTTTGTTTTTATATATAATAACAGTAATAACAGGTCTTTCACTTCTTTTGTAAGCAAGTAAACTGAAAATAGAAAGCTGTGGAATAAAAGTGTTTAATCAGATTGCTCTGGGCCTGCAGGAGTCCCAGTGCGTGTATTCTCTAGTGAAGATGTGGCCATTCATTTATTATTCATATGAAGAGTGAAAAACCCCAAAGAAATAATGATCAAATAAAGATGAACAGACAGACAGAGAGAGGTAAAGGGGAGGGACCAGAGTTAAACTGGCTGTTGGACAAACCAATACGACTGCAAAGAGAGGATTAACGCCTCTTTTGATTGGTCTGTTGGGACGTGAGAAATCCGATTAAGGAGGAGTCCTGAATGTTGGCCATCCAGGTGTACTGCTCACCTGAAGCTGACATTCGTAGTCTTGACTCGGAGTCAAGAATGATCAGTAGTCTCGTCTTTGATCTGAGCCCCCCCCCACTATCTGCTACTGCTCCTGTTACAGCCTTTCACTGTTCCACTCTCTCTCTATCTCTCTCTCTCACTCTCTC